AGTCCGGTCCTGCCACCTAAAATAAGTGTTCCCATCCTGCTCCGCTTACTCCTACCAAATTTGTATGCTCTAGGTCCACGGGGACAGGAGTTATGAATTTCCGGTCAGACACACACACCGACACACACACACACACATACACAAACACACAAACACACCGACACACCAACAGACACACTTAGCGAATTATATAAAGTAGGATACGTAAGTTAAAAAGTGTAGGAAAGATAAGTAAGAGCGGTAAGGTAATCTCAATTGAGTAATGAGCTTATACTCGCTGAAAATCAATTTGTTATATAACTAATAGAATCATAATATGTGTCTAAAATTCTGATGAGTGGTTTATAGCTCAAGTGGTACTTATGGATTATAAACTTATTTCTAGCTAAACATTTTATGAGACCCGTAATAAAAATGTCCTTAGTATAACCCATTTGGCATGCTTGAAGTCCCATATATGTACTAAGCCTATCCAAAAAATCATTCATCCAAAGTGTATCCAAAAAAAGCCTAATATCGTTTAACCAGTAGGAAAATTCCCTCTGAAACAGTATAAGGACACCAACCTAGTATGTAGCACTAACAGCACTGACGCATATATTACTGAACATATCGCACTGTTCAACAGCGCCTTCAAATGCTTCAACAAATCCGACATGAATAGAATAAGCCTGTAAATAGAGCTCCAGGGGACCGATTGCCGCAAACTATTTTTGAAAGGAATTGCCAGTTAGGGTCCATAAGTAACAAGAAGAGACGAGCGCTCGAATTTCATTATCCGTTTTTTTTTTATTTTCGAAGGTCACATTGCTCTTGATGTTCTCCTTGCCTGGTTGTTTTATTCAAGTTTTCAGCACTTTTGAATGAGTTCCCCATTAAATGCGACTCCTTGATAATCATTACTATCACCGAATACAATTAATATACAAAAATATTGAGCCAAAAAAGGACGACGCTCTGAGAAGTTCCTGAAAGTGATTCAACACTTTCAATTCTAGGCACGTTTCGGAAACGAAAACAACACGGTTGACCTGGTTGCTGGACACAATATTTTCTGATGTCTCAAATGAATGGGTAGCATAGGCTCACCGAGCATGCATCTACGAGTGAGCGTCGGCAAGTCTTCACCTTCTGCCTTCAATATCATTGATTGCCTGTACCGCAGCACCCTCTCGACGATGCTATCAACGAGTCCTATGACGATGTCTATGACGGAGTGTTTTGTCTCTTAGTCAAGATTGATTCCTCCTAAAGCCTGGTGAAGAACTTCCGCAATTACGTGGCTCATCACGACAAACTCGTGAGATTCAATCAGCTTTATTGTCCGTAATAAGAACTAGTTTCCTTCATCCGTTTGATGCTAGCGCGGCCCACCACGAAACTTTGTTGACCTACACCACCGAACCTTTAATCACGTGGACCCCCTCCTTCAAAAGCTCCACCCCCCTCCCTCCCCCAAATAAACCTTTTTCTGAGGAGGACTCATTACTTTCCGCCCTCACGTTCTGAAGCGACTCCCACAACAAGTGCCGAAAGTTTCGTGGCAGGTATCCTAATCTTC